CACATGCTCTAACAAATGCCAACAAGCCAAAAAAAGTCTGTGCAGATTTTTTTCGTGATACCTGCCACCGCCGTGTGTACACATAGCAAGAGCAAACATGCACTGATTTTATGGGATGTTGCGGTGCAACATTGCCATTTGCAAAGTTCATGGTCGAGAACTGCACATTCAAGTCACCCAAAAATTGCAAAAAGATCTCAATGTTTGAAGTTTATGATTTTATGTTGGGCCGCATCCGTAGCCCTCTTGGGCTGCGTGCAGACCATGGGCCATGGGTTGGACACCCTTTGTTTAAGGCATTGTCAGTGTAAATGGATTTTCGGTGCCCTTTTGACAGCTAAAGGACTAAAATTACAAAATTAGAAGGATGTACAGTAGTCTCACTTCCGATAATGCAATGGACTGAAAACCTAAAGACACTTTAACATTTGACCTAGCAACATATTGACACCACTCTCAAATGGATATATATTTGGATAGTTGGCCTTTGTTGATGCATATTTGAGATACTGAAAACGAACTTTTTTCTTTTTAATGAATGTATTTTGTTGAGCTTTTCAAAAATTAACAAAACAAAAGAAAAAGATTGGGCTTATGCACTGAAAATGAATTGTTCTCATGCTGTCTGTGGAAGCAAATATGATGCATTTGCCTGCACTGAGAACAAAATTCACAATTTTATTGCTCCTTGCATATTTTAATATTAAGAATGCCACTCGATTCATGTCAGTTATTTTTAATGGTTTTCAGGTCATGTTTGCTTGTGTATTTTTGGTCAGAGTTCAAATGTTAACATGAAGAAAATTCTCAGTTAGCACTCCATTGTGACCTGGAGAACTTTGACCAGTATTCAGAAGACTTGAATAGTTAGATTTGTTATTCACACAAGTGAGAGATAAAACTGGCCATCTGCGCAGAATCAAATGGATTTCATAGGTGGCTGGCTACAAGCACACTTCAACTGTACAAGCGTAAGGAAAAAGGCAAAAACAGAAGCACTGCCTCTCTTGTGGCATAGTTTACATTCTTCCTTGCTTGCATTTACAGATTTGAATCTGAAAATCAGCCTGTATAACAAGCTTAAATTTTAAGTTGCAATCCTATACTGGCTTACCTGGGAGTTGGCCCCAGTGGGATTTCCTCTGAGTAGACATGTAGGATTGTACTGTTCATACAGCTGGGATTTTCTGTCAATTCATTTTAGCATGGCAGCAACAGCTAACTGGAGTATACATGAACCAACTATAGATTTTGCTAAGGACAGGAAAAACTACACTATGCATGATTCGCTAGTGTGTCAGGGGAGGTTCACCCCAAACTGTCCTCCTTGCACTATTTCTGCCATTATATCTTGTTTGGCAAAACAGCAAGTGGGAGAAGGAATTTCTTCAGCTGTTTTCTGGTCTCCCTCATGTCCTCCTTCCTCCCCATAGGTTCAATGTCACATGGAGATGGGTAGAGACCTGTTCTCTCCTGCAGAGAAAGGCAGGACGCGTTCCAACGGAGCAAAGCTCAGGGAGTCAAGGTTCCGTTTGGATGCCAGGAAGCACTTCCTGACAGTCAGGACCCCGAGGGTGTGGAATGGGCTTCCATGAGAGGTCGTTGAGGCCCCATCGGTGCGGGTGTTCAAGGATAGGCTGGACATGCACATGGTGGGCATGTCATAAGCAGAGCTGGCTGGAGCCGGGGGTCAGACTAGATGGCCCGGGAGACCCTTCTGACTCACTCTGTTTCTATGTTGCCTCTCACACACTTACTTGCTCAGTGAACTGGAGAGTACAGGCAGTGCTCTTTCCCCAGTTTGGGATCTCTTTGCCTCAAGGAACAACTAGGTGATAGGAGTCAAAATGCAACTCTGAACACATGATCTTCACATCAAAGCATATTATCTTCACTGGCCTTACTCAGAAATGAATTGCATTGGCTTCAGTGATACTTAGTCTTGGGAAGATCAGCAAGGGAGAAGGGCTGTACTTGCTTTTTTGAGTTGGGTTTGGGTGGATGAAAATGGGGGTACTGATCCTTCTGACTTTGCTCCATAGGTGGTGGAAGGACAGGAGCACCAAAGCTGTCACCTCTTTCCTATCTTCCTTCTCATGGTTTCTGTGAGAGGGCAGGACTGTCATTCCCCCCCTTTGCTCCATGACACCTACACCCTGAAGGGAAAAAACCCGTTTTTTAAGAAGGGACTCTTCTCCTGCATACCTTCTCCTCCCTCTCCCATAATTGCATTTGCGTGTGAGGCAAGATCTGGTTTTCAAAACTATGGAAACTGTGCTATGGCACTATAGTCATTAGCATGTGCCCCAACAGTGGTAATTGCATTTTGCATAAATAGCGCCACAGCACTTCCTTATAGAAGGAAGGGGCTCAGTGTAGCATGTAGTGGGGTATTAGTTTTTAAATATATATTTATATAATTAAGTCTAGTGTAGAATAAATGAAAAGTGCCAGTGTGCCCAGCCCTGATTCAAATAAGGACTCTGTACAATGGGAGAGGAGGGCTAAGTCAATCTCCCTTCCTCCCACCCCCCCTCTCTCTCACACACACATGCATATGCATACCTTAGTTTTCCCCATGGGAAAAAACCCTATTGCTATCAATGGAGTCTCCCCGCACCTCTGTATTTAATACCCCTCTGAGTAGGGGCTGGGATGAGAATTCTGGAAAGCACACATTGGATGGGAAGGTTTCTCCTCCATTTCCTCCCTGTCTTTGCATGGTCCTGATCCAACTTTGGGCTGTGCACACTGATACTAGCGTAAATAAGAAGGTAACCCTCAGCTCCATTCAGCTCTGAATTCAGAGTCAGCACACCTCTAAGAACAAGATTCTGATATGTGGCAAGTTCATCTCGAGAACTAAGGACCTGATGGTGCTTAATCTGCTACATGTTTTATTTCTTTATGTATTAGATTTCTATCGTGCTTTTTCTTACAACAAACTCAAAGCGGCTTACATCATTCTCTTCCTCCTGCTCTGTCTTATTCCCAAAACAACAGCCCTGTGAGGTAGGCTGGGCTCAGAGTCTGTGACTGGCCCAAAGTCACTGAGTGGGCTCCATGATCAAGCAGGGACTAGATGGCCTGAGTCCCAGTCCTCTCCTCTTAACTACAGCACCACACTGGCTCACACAGAGGCCAGACATCTCCACCCTGGAACCCTCCAGATAGGTTGGTTGGATTACAAGTCCCCGGAGCTGTAGTCCAACCCATCTGGAGGGCACCAGGCTGGGGAAGGCTGACAAGGTGTCCAAGTACAACCAAGGACAAGGCTCCTTGTCCTATTAAAGGAACAGAAGCCCCATCATCTTCTACCTCAGGCCCTTTTTCTACCATATAATCTACTGAAGATGACCACAGAATCACCTACAAAAAAGCAGAAAAGCAGGACAGTCTATGTTGCTTTATATTTATTTATTTGGTTATTATATTTAAATACATCTTCCAGTCAAGACACCCAAAGTGGTTTACAAAGGTTACAAAACTAGAAGAGAGTTGATGGTCTCTTCAGGTTCTAAGGGCATGAACTCTTTAGCCTGAAACTCTTTTATCTTCCGCCTTGCTTCATGCACAAAAGACATAAGTTGCCCCAATAATGGTGCAGAATGGACTGCTCCAACAGCCCTCTTGAGCCAGCTGGGTAAGATGGCAGGGAAGAGGAGAAGTGTGTGAGCTGCCTTGAGTTCCTTGAAAGGAAAAAAGAGGGGTTTAAATATAATAAATAAATAAACTGATGGGTCCTCCAGGAGCAGGTATTCTTTGGTCTGGCCTGACTTGCTTCTTGTTTTGCACTGAAACACAGAATATATTCTTTTTTGTGGCTTTAGTGTTGCCCTACAAATGTTGTACAATGTTATGTTGTGCGAAGGCCAGATAAAGGCTTCTTCTTGAGCTTAAGCTTCATTCCTCTTGCCATTGCCAATTAATTCATGTTGCCTTAATGGTACAGAAATCATTCTTCTGAGTAGAGATTTAGGCAGATATGGTTCTAATTTTGTGAAGTGTTGTGGACAATGGGTCCTACTGGGAGAGACACCCAGAATGAAAAGTTGCCTTTGTGGAGGCTGTGAATGCAACTAACCACAGGAACTACAGCTGTATTTCATGCAGATCAGGCAACTTCGTAAGTCATATCCATACAATTTGGCGGCTTGGAGTGGGTAATGACGATGTATTTAATGTTGCTTTCCCCATCGAATACATAGCCTGAGTAAACTAGAAATGTTGAAAAACAGTTCTGATTAAAAGCGTTCTGCAAAATACCATAATGGGATGAAGTACTGTGGCATGTACGCTACTTTAAAAGCCTTAAAATGAAAATTGGGAAATTTAAAAGTTGAGAAAATTATTGAGAATAAGTGTGCACTCCCATTGCACTTTCATTTTTACAGAGAATGTTCATAGTTCATGTAAACAGTATCAACAAGTAGCATAGAATGGACTAAAAATATTGCTAGAAAAGGAATGAAAACAGTACTTTCTAAAAGAGTCAATATTTTCACTCTAGTTAAGAAGACATTCATCTCCCAAATCTCTTGCCTTATCTATTTCTTTAGATTTATATTTGGAACTCACCATCTGTATGAGACTTCTATAAATAACTCTTCCTCAGTGGTGTTATATGTTATCCCTTTGACTTTTCTACTGCTTGTTGGATGCAAGAGGGGCTGAACTTTTGATATTTATAAGAACAGATATTCCATATTGAATAGGTAGATCTCCAGCTAGAAAAGAGCACCTAAAAATATCCCCACTGTAGAAGCTGATACTGCAAGCACCCTTCTCCCACAGATTACCCATCAAGCCAGTTCTCGAGCTCTAACCCGCGCTCGGTTATGTACAGCTGAGCCACCTGGATGACCCAAGGCTATTCCTTGGCTGGTAGGGAAGTGGCGGGGGTGGGGGGCTGTCCCTCTGATGATGTGCCCTCTGTCTTGTGGTTCTGCAGTCAAATATCAGCAATTATTAACTTCCAGTATGGTCTGTTTTTATTTCAGCCCAGACGAAGCCTACTGGGCCTCTTGCCTTCCGAAACAGCAGTGAAAGCAACACAACTGCAGAGCCGACTGCGGGTAAGAATGCGGAAGGGTAGGCTCCAGCTGGGGGAGCAGCCCTCTAGGATGAGCTGGTCTGAATATAATGCCAATTTTTAGCAGGCTGTTTGGGGAGAATTCAGGGAATGTACACACAAGCAGACCAGATAAGAGCTAGTTCATTGGCCTATTTTTAATTAGTCTGTTATGTATTTATTCAGTATAAGCGGCATACTCTGTATTATATGCACAGGATCATTTTTGTGTGAGTGATGATGTGATGAGTCCTGCTCTCTTGTGATGACCATGTGTCAGGATCCATGACCAATTGTCTTACCATGCAACTTGCATTTTGAAAGGTTGTAATGAGATGCTGCTCCTGAAAGATCCATGCATCAGGCTATCTGTTCCTCCAGTCAGTAAATACCTCTGGCCACATGACCTCCTCACAGAGCAAGGGGCAGCTACAAGGAAAGGGAGAGGGCAGATTCTTCACTTCTGTTCTGCTGGATTGTGTGTCCCTCCATTTCTCAAGAGACAATGGGGGAAAGACATGGCTGAAAGGGGCAGGACACAGCCAATCTTGCAGCCAGTCTTGCACTAGTAGAAAGAAACTCACATGAGGCTGGACTGAACCATACTCTGGATCATTAAGTAGGATTCCAAGACAGAGTCCAGCTTCATGCACAGAAGTTTCACCAGCCTGGTCCAAAGCAACCCACCTGAGTATGCAGTGTGAAGCAAGAATGTGCCCCAGAGATGTCTGTGATGCACTTCGAACTCAAGTTCCCTGCTCCCTTCTAGCCACCTCTGGTCTCCCACAGCTCTTGGGAAGCAAAACTGTGAGCGATGACAGGCAACAGGGTGGTCTGGGCTCAGTTTGGATCCACGTCCTCCAGCTGCTCAGCTCTGCTGTGCTCCTACTAAATCTAAAGCTCTAAATTGAGTCACTCACTAAAGTCAGATAGGTACAAAGGTATGCCCCCAACTGAAGCCACAGGATTGCTTTTTGTTTGGTCGGTGGTGCTTTCACATGGAGAGTTATCACCAGAAGGTTGTAAAGGCAACGTGGGCAGCTGCAAGTTGACTTGAAAGGTGACAGGTATGAAAAAGAGGCACCAGAAACAAAGCACAGATGTGACTGAAGATAAGACTGGCTATACTGAGCCTCAGCAGGTTTTAGAATCATGTGGAAATTCACAGTTCTGTCAACATTATTTGGTATACACGGCAGTGCCTGGACATTTGTCTATAAGAGCACAACTCTATGTAGGTTTAGACAGAAAAAAATTGTGCCGAGAGTTGTGTGGCTATTTGCTTTCTAATATGCAGAGGATAATGTCCTAAGGACAAGGCCATCCTAGTTCCTGTAGTTTAAGGACCTGCATGCAGCAACAAAGCACACGCAACCATGGAAAGCAACCGCCTGGCTATGGCTTCATGTGGGCCTGGTGTTAACAAATGACAGCACCAGGGTTGCTCCAGGACATAAGAACTGAAAATTTCCACGGACATTCCAGGTGAAGGCAGACATAATATTCAACGGCTGGCATTGCAGCCTCTTACTGCTATCAGTTTAAGGGCATTGTGTGGTTATTCTCTTCTTTCTCCTTAACAGGTGTCGGCGGGGGGGGGGGGGGGGAGGCGTAAGAAAACCTGGAAGGTTTCAAGTGGAAAAAAACATCATCTGAATCCAACCACACCCCACATAAAATTCCACACATGACATGAGGCAATTGCTTAATAAAAGCCTCCTGGAAGCTTTTCCTAGCAAATCAACACTGCTCCATCTGTCAGTCCTCCCAGATCCACAGGGGCAGAATGCTGGCAAGTCAGATAGAAGCCAAATGCTCTGTGAGGAGTTATCACCCAGAACTGAGCCATCGAGAAGAAGGGGCAAACACTGGGTTGCAAGGAAAAGATCCCCATAAGCCTCTTTGCTTCTGTCAATAGTGTCAAGTAAGCTTCACAAAACCAAAGCTATTAAGTAGTAACTGAATGCACTATAAAATAGAGTAATATGCTAACTCTGTCACAACTAAGTGGTCACAACACTTAGCTTAGATGAAAGATGTGTCATCACTAAGCTCTAGACCTGATATATCGGAGTGAAAGCCCAATCTGTCATGAGCTGCAGAAACAATATTTGGTGTGAATGGCTTCTTCAGCAGCAGAGGGAGTTGAAGATTTTGCCTGGCAAATGCTTTGCCCTGTGCTTGATTCCAGGAGTTAATAGAACATGTGCAATTCATGTAGAATGGATAGCATCCTGAGACACAGTGGTACCTCATAAAGTGTGGAGTTGCAAGCTCTTAGATCTAGTTTAAAATGTCATATACAGAGAGGGTGGATTTTGAGGGAATCAACCCACAGTGCTCTCAAACTCTGTGCATTGCACCAATCCACCCACAGCTACCAAGGAATTGGACCTGCTTCTCCAATAACGGCAGCGTTCTCCAATAACGGCACCTGCATTTCTAGGTGCGCCCAGTGGTGGGCAGCCAGGAACGTGAGTGGTTATGTGAAAAGTGGCCCAAGCACCCTGCTGGGATTCTTCCTAGTAAGTGGTGCTTGCCTCATCTCTGGTTTTGAGGTTACCCTGAGCTCTGTGCACACTCATCTCTGTGACATTTTCATCAAAGAGTCAGGAAGTTGTGTGGGTGGCAGCTTGTGTTGCACCCACTGGCAGAGGACTGAACAGAGTTGTGGTTGTTTTTTTCTCAAGCAGCCTCTTCCTGGACCCACTGGCTGGATATGAGGATTTCTATAGCAGCTTAAGCCAGGGTTGACACTTAGCAGGATCCATTTTGCTACGGATTACTCTTAGCTTCAAGGAAGACCAAATATGAGATGGTCTGAGTCCATAAAGGAAGCCACAACCTTGAGGTTACAAGAGCTGAGCATGGTGGTCAAAGGCAGGGCGTTTTGGAAGCCACTCATTCAGGGACTCGCAGTAAGTCTATTACAGGATATAATAACAACAGGAATCAACAGTCCCCAAACCTTTTGCATCACTGGAGACATTTGGAACTTTACGAGGTTGTAATGGACCTTATTTCACATGGAGGTCCCACTGACCAGTTAATCCAGCTGTGTGCAGCTTTGTTAGAAAATGCCCCCCCCCCCGGCCCCACACACACACTCCACCTCTGTGCTTGGGAGTGCTCGTCCAGTACATAGCCAGGTGTCTTTGCTTAGAGCGTGTTAAAAATTCATTTTCTTTCCGAGGGGAAATGAAGGTGTGAGTGTGTGCATGCAGTTCCCACAAGAAACAAGTTGCCACCTCCTCCCAGAGCCTCAAGATGCTCTCCTCTTTTCCACCATGCCTCTCAGACAAAAACAAGTGGGTGGAGAGATCAGTCAGTTAAAGATTCCTTTAAACTCACAGCGTCAGTATCTGAACACCTCTTTAAGGTGATTCAATTGCACGTGCAAGCAAATGATATGAACTCTGGCCATTAAGGCCTGGTCTACAAAGGCAGCAGGAAGAAGCCATAATGAGGTAGAAGACTCCTGAAGGGGCAGAAGCGACTGTGCCATTTCACATTGCCAGGGAAGAACGTATGCCTGTGCTCTCCTAGAGTTGAAATAACCTTCTCTGCAATCAGAAAAGTGGCCCAGCATGAAATGAGCTGAGATAGAACATTTTGCCTTGATTGGCTGGTTTGTTTGAATTATAATGGCAGGATGTTTGGCACACAGTCACTCTCTCCACCTGTTGTCTGAGGTGGTACAATCCACTTTAAGACTTCTGTTGCCTGAGTGGGTGAGAAACCTCACTCTGCCACATCAGCCTTCCCCAACTTGGTGCCCTCCTGATGTGCTGAACTACAGCTCACATCATTGACCAGCCAGCTTCATCCCCAGACAGCATGGGCATGGTGGCTGAGGATGATGTGAGTTGTAATCAGCACCAGGAAAAGCTGCTCCTCATGGAGGCTGGGCCTACAAGTGTAGCAGAATCTCCACAGAAGAATTGGCCATGCCACTTCATTCTTCAATCAGGGATCTACTCTTGCCTGTGTCCCCATTTTTTAAAGCTTCCTACAAATTAGAGAGCCAGTATGGTGTAGTGGTTAAGGATCTGGAACTCAGGCAATCTGGGTTCTAGTCTCTACTCGGCTCAGCCATGGAGCTAGCTGGGTGACTTTGGGTCAGTCACAGACTCTCAGCCCAACCTACCTCACAGGGCTGTTGTTGTGGGGATAGGACTGAGAGCAGGAAGAAGAGAATTATGTAAGACTCTTTTAGTCCTTAAAAAAGAAAGAAAGAAAAAGGTGGTATATAAATCAAATAAATAAAATCAGGACAAAAGGTTGTAGCGTTTAGAATTCTGCTGCTGTGCTGGTTTTCCATTTGCAGGGAGTTGGTTTGCTGTCATTTCTTTAACATACAGGAGCTCTCAAAATGGTGTTCCCCCAACTGCAGCCTATGTGGTATACTATATTCACTGCCTCAGCCTCCATCTTACTCTGCCGTGTGCATGGATCAGAAATAACAAAAAATGTCAAATTCCCTTGTTGGAATAGCACTGTGACTGAAAGATGAAGCAAAATGAAAATTCTGTTTGTGTTGTTAGATCTCTCAGGGCTGATTCATGCAGGCAGGCCAGTCATCAAATGATGAATATCTGTAGCTACTCAATACATCAATTTTGTGTGTGTTCATAAAGGCCAGATTTAATTTTTAAAAAATAAAGTGAGAGCATTTGAGACTTGCAGAGCGTAAGGTCAGGGGATTTTATTATGTAGTGAGGAAAGGTGGGGTGTCAAAATAAGGGACACCCACTGTCTTGCTTCTGTGCTCATTCAGAGTGCTTGACTGCTCTATATGGCACTCTTCCATTTTTCCTGGAGATCATCAGTTGTATACATCTGTCATATAAGCAGTGCTTTTTTTGTCCTAGAACGCACCGGAACAGAGTTCTGGCACCTTTTTTTGATGGATTTTCCAAGTTTTAAAAGTAACTTTAAAATTTAAATGTAAATTTGATGTTTGGTCCACATGGATTTGAATCGCCCTGAGGAGCGTAGCAGGTCGGCGGCAAAATCATTAAAATGGTGCAGGCGAGCTGCTTGTGTGTTGAGTCCGATGCATGCGTACTTTGTCTGCGCTGACTGTGATGGCGCTGCTCGACTTGTGGCACTGTGTGGCTTGTGATTGGTTGTGTGGTCATGTGCTGAGTGCTTACTGCGGGCGGCGACCGTTATGTTTTGTTACACAACTGATGTGTGTGGGTGTGTGTACAGTGATTGACTACATGTGAAAGGTAAATAATTTATTTTTTAAAAAGTTGGTGAATTGAAAATCTTTTTTTTAATTTTTAGTGTAAAAATGTGACCCCAAATTTAAAAATGAAAAAAATTACTAATTACTTCTCAACCACCGGTCCTGCTAATAAAAAGGCCAGAATATTAACAGATACAATATTAACAGGTACAATGACAGAACACATAGATACTAACAGCAGGGAAGGAGTCGAGAAGATTTGTCGGATGAGAATGGACAAAACTTTGGAATTTACTATGAACATTTGCCTTAAATACAATAAATTAAATTTATGTTAAGAACTGAATATATAATTTTTTAAATAAAAGATTAACAAGATGTGAGTTCCGGCACCTTTTTTCTTACAAAAAAAGCACTGCATATAAGTGTTACCTAGTGGTTCAAATCCAGTTGTAAATAATGAACACCAGGTGCAGTAAATACTTATTAACAGCTATATCTGTCCTTCTTATATATATTTTTAAATTCTGCCACATCATAGCCTGTGATTCGTCCCTTATCTACTTCTTTTCCCCAGAACCCTGGAGGCTGCGTTTGATGGACGGAGGAAGCAGCTGTTCTGGCAGAGTGGAGCTTGAATATAATGGTGCTTGGGGTACTGTGTGCGATGACAACTGGGACCTGGCTGATGCTGAAGTTGTGTGTCAGCAGCTAGGCTGCGGCTGGGCCATTCAGGCTGTGAATGCCTCTCATTTCCAGAAGGGAACTGGCCCCATTCATTTGGATGAAGTGAAATGTCTGGGGAATGAGTCTTATTTATGGAACTGCCCTTCGGAGGAGAACCAAGACTGTGGACACAAGGAAGATGCTGGTGTGATATGCTCAGGTCTGTTTGATGAAGCACAGCTATTTTTTGCTTGCACTGCAGCCTTCTCTACTACAAATTACTACAGTTGGGGGAATATAGGTCTACTGGTAGTGGTATATTCTGGGATGGCCAAGTCCCTAAGCCTGAGAGGATAAATTTTCAGTGGCCAATGAACAAATCCCAGTAGCTAGATTTGCCGCTTATTGCCATGCTAAATCTTGGAGGCCCCATCAGACTGAGAAATGCAGTAGATGAAAAATCCATTCAGTCCAAATTTTGATACAAACTTACCCAATTCATACCTCCCAAACCTTTACATGAAATGGAATTACCGTTTTGCACCAAAATCTATGCTGTTTAGAATTTTGTGTTGCAATGCCCAACTCAAAAAATGCACAAAAATGGATACATTAAGGGAAGTATGCACAAAAGTTCATTATACAAGGGGAAAACTACTTGCAAAAAGTGTGCATACTGAAAAATTGCATTCCAAAATGCATGCATTAGAAGAAAGCATGAGCAAATATGTGCACATTTTAATGCAGACATTTTGGCTGCTTTTGCAAACTAACACAGAAATAGTCCAAAACAAACTCAGGCTGGGTAAAATGAGAAAATGAGCAAAACTGAAATTGACAGAATCACCCATTCCTACTTGAGAGTTCAAGAGGGGGAAATCATGGCAGTGCAGCTGGAGTTAGTGGACTTTCTTGTCTGGACTACTTCAGTGAGAAAAGAAATGTAGTTTTCTACTCTTCTGTCTTTGAAGACTGACAGCTTTTCTGTACATTTAGAGTAGCAGATGATGTGAGCCCAAGAAGAAACTGGGCTGTTTCCTCCTCATTGAAATAGGTCAGAAGAAAAAGCAAAATCTACTTTCAATCTTACATTCTCTTCCTCTATACTCCAATCCTGGTGGAGCAGTCAACTGCTTGTACAGAACACGGTTGTGTGTAGCAGATCCCATAACTATCCTAATGCAGTCTGTCTCTGGACAGCTGCTCTTCTCTGCATGCCCAGTTTGGATATTTTCTGACAGCAGTGTGGTAAAAACGTATCCCTTCTCTTGGACAAGGCTGGGTAAGGGAAGCCGTAAACAGAAATCCCACTTGACATATATTTCAGTCGCAACACAAGCCCAGCTCAAGGGAAATATCACCTCCCCAAGCTCTCAGGGTTGTTGTAACAAATATATCTGGGATGAATGAGAACCTCCTTTAGAGCAATTCCAAGAATTATTTGTGAAATAAACATCATGTTTCTGAAGGCCCCAGAGATGAGAAAGCAGTGCCGGTATTTTGATATTCATGTGTTCAGAATGTTTGACATGTATTTCACTTGAGAGATGTAACATGACACCTCATGATGACCATGGAGTCAGAGTTGGGCAAGAGCAGGAAGATTTTACATTTTAACATGCTTTCTGTAAGCTCTCCCCTTGAAAGCTCATGATCGTAATTTATGGTAGGCACACCTATGCTACCCGCTGTTTTTCCTCAATGACACTAAAGTGCCATTATACTTGTATTTCCTACCTGAAGTGAAGAGTCAAACTACCACCCCTGTACTCTCAACGGGAGCTCATTTTTAAGCAACATAAGGAAGGACTCCCTGGAGAAGAGTCTAATTCTGAGAACAATAGATGGCAAAAGAAGAAGGGGATGGCAGAGGATGAGGTGGCTGGATGGAGTCACTGAGGCAGTTGGTGTGAGCTTGAGTGGACTCCAGGGGATGGTGGAGGACAGGAGGGCCTGGAGGAGAGTTGTCCATGGGGTCGCACTGGTCAGATGCGACTTCGCAACTAACAAGGACAACAAAAAAGGAGATTGAGGCAGGGGAAAGGCATCTGTTGCCAGTGAGACCAATTAGTGCTGCTCCATAGTAAGGCTGGCCCTGCTTTGATGATCAAATAAGGAGGGGAGATGCGAGTATAAAAGAAGGAAACAAA